TTCTTTTAATGTTGTACACCGCCCTGAGTCCTTGGGAGAAGGGCGGCATATAAATCGAATAAACCTCAAACCTCAAACCTAATTCTAGCCTCATCACTGGAGAAGCTCAGTGGTGGGATTCAGCCAGTTCGCATCTATTCGGGAGAACTGGTTGTTAACTTTCTCAGCAATTTGGAGAATTGGTCTTGGAAGAAATCTCATTTTGTTTTTTTCCACTTTATAGAGCTACAAGGAAAGCAGGAATGAAACATTCTGGTGTTGTTTCTAGCCTCATCTTTCCATAATTGGTTGCTTACAGAAACAGCCTCTCCGGTTAACCCTTGTTACATTGTAACAGCTAAGATGAAGCGTCCATTGATGTGAGTGATGTTGAGATGGCCACACCCAATGGTCACATGACCACTGAGCCATGTTTACCCAGCTGGTCATTGGGGCAGAGAACCGGTTGTTAAATTATTTGAATCCCACCACTGGAGCAGCTACATTATAAAGCAGCCCCAGGTCATAAGCAATCTTAATAACGTTGATTAATCTTCATGAAGCTATGTCTTGGATATGTTATTTATTAGATTTTTATTCTACTTTTATTACTTTATAAGTAAGTCAACATGGTGAACATAGCCAATACTTCTTCCTTCTCTTCTTTTCCCCACAGCAACAACTTTAAGAAGTTGGGTTGAGAGAGAGTAACTGGCTCACAGCCAGCTTTCATGCTCTAAGACTAGAACTCACAATCTCCTGGTGATTGGCCCAAAATCACCCAGCTGGCATTCATGCCCTAATGAAGGACTAGAACTCAAAATCTCCTGGTTTCTAGGCCAACACCATCAACACCACATCATCACACCAAACTGCTTCTTAAATATGGACCCATAACTTTCGTAGCTCTTGTTATGGAACAAGAGTGATCAAGTCATGCATTAAGAAACCATTTGCTCTGCTCCCTTCCTTTCCACCCTTGTGATGTTCCACTACTACATTTCGGAAATCTAACAACAAAGGACACAGTTTCAACATCATTGTTTTCCAGTAAGTTTTTAAAAATTTAACCTAATTTAAGCAAGGCATAACATACTTATTTTACTCACATACCCTCCCAACTGTTCACTGATTTTTTATTTTTTTTGCCCCCGAAAGCAATTTTTCTAATGAACCTGAATAGCTGAAAACGCTAGGGGAATATTTTTTTTAAGTGCAGCCCTTTTCAAATTTAGCTCAATAGCAATAGCAGTTAGACTTATATACTGCTTCATAGGGCTTTCAGCCCTCTCTAAGCAGTTTACAGAGTCAGCATATCGCCCCCACAGTCTGAGTCAACCTTGAGCCGGTGAGATTTGAACCGCTGAACTGCAGATAACAGTCAGCTGAAGCGGCCTGCAGTACTGCAATAGCAATAGCAGTAGACTTATATACCGCTTCATAGGGCTT